TAGAGGTTAGTTAGGCGCAGGCCTTGTTGTTGAAATCATCCAAAGTAAACGATGGTGCAGCATGCAAAGACCTGGCGCCAAAAGGAACCACGGAATGAATGGGAAACGTTGTCTTCTGCTGATGCCATTTCAAAACTTGCAAATATTGTCATGCGGTGGAGTGAACAGATTCCACCAATGACCTTTTATGTGAAAACCGAATCGAATCACTTTAAGAGCTGCCGAATACTGTGGTTTAAAGCGGGTTGGCTTGTCCCCTGGAGGTCAAACAAATTTTCTGGTGGACACGAGAGTCGATGAGAAAAGGACGGCTTTAAAATGGTAACTTTGCAGCCAAAAGCCTTAAACACCTATGCAGTATGAAGATGCGCGTAAGGAGACGGCGAAAGCAGTGGCCAAAGAGGAATCAGATTCCTATGAAAAGTTTGGTGAGATGAAGGAGTGAAATTTCTAGACGGAAAACAATGTACTGTGGTTGAACCATTCGTTTCCTCCAAGACGGAACGATGTCTACGAATCTTGAGTAACAAGTTCGAGCACCACTTCTTACCAAGGATGAGAATATATTTCAAAGACGGAGAGAATACTTTGAGGAACTCATTAACCCTTTGCAACCGCGAGAAAACTAGCTTAAGGAGCCAACATGCAACCGATTTTAGTTTTTCAATTGCTGCCAAAAGCTTGAAACTGGCATGGTTGCTGGAATGAACGAAATCTGCCTTGAAATGTTTGAAGCTATAGATAAACAAGGCATGCCATGGCCAATATATGTCTGTGAAATTGCAATGGCATGGAGAAGACACCAGTTGACTGCAGAGTGAGAGTTGAGTTGTAATACCCCTGTTCAAAAAGGGTGTCCATACGGAGTACTCCTGTTTTCAGGGATTGACTTAACTCAGCCGTACGGGAAAAGTGTAGTCAAAGGTATTGGATAGGTAACGCCGCCGAACAGTTGCCCAGATCGTTGCGAAATGGTGTGAGTTCTTTCATTTGATTATTTACATGTGCCGTGCTGATCTGAAGAAAACCTATGATTGTACAGAGTACAACTAGCTGATGATGTGCCTGCAAACACATGAGATCGCTGGCGACTTGCTACGGACCATCCAATCACTGTATTCTGATAGAAGGTGCTGCGTCAGAGTTAATGGCGTTAAGTCGAAACCATTCAGTGTTCGCACTGGTCTCCGCCAAGGCT